AACTAAATTCGAGCCGGTCGAGTCCCGTGTCCCCATTTCAGAATTTCAAGATGTTGCCAACTGATAGCGTTGAAAAGGAGAGCCGATCAAAACCCACTCACCTCGCCTCCTGCAGCGCGGCACGGCGCGCGTCGCTGTCGTCCTCCATCAGGCGCTTGCCGCCGGCGGAATCGCTCACCAGGCCCAGGGCCTATGGGAGCCCATGGACGCATGCCCACAAGGAAGCGAAACCACACCGAAAAACCGTAACCTACCAAAGCCGTGCCAACCGAAACCCCTAGCAAACCAACCAAACAACAGCACGGCAGCAAAAGCGTAAGCTGCAGGTGCAACCATCCCGAGCCCTTATGGCATCTACTCCCTTCGGCTTGCCAGATCGAAACCGTGTGAGGATAAAAAGGGAGCTAAGGGAGCAGTTCCCAGGAAGCCTTCGGGTTCTTAGGGTTCGTTGGGTTCCTGAAGTGGCTAAGTGCGAGTGGAGCTGTGCCTCGGCTATCCCCACGCCTCCATCAGGCCGCTGCCATCCCCGGTGACCACCTTGGCCGCCTCTCTCGCCTCCTTCTCCGCCTTGCCCATGTCCTCGAGCCGTGGGAGACTTTACCTTTCCACAAACAACCAAGCAGACAACACCCAACAAAGGGGGCACCAACAAACCAGGAATCTCAGATCGCAAAGCTGCATGGGCCATTGGTACGGGCCCCCTCTCCATTATCGGTATCGGGCCAACTTCTAACAATCGAAGCTCAACTTTTTTTCTTCGCTCGAAACTTTGGAAAGGCAACCGCCCCTCGTCCTTCTCCATCTGCGCCCAGGCAGAGCCAAGCTCCTCCCAGGCCTCGCGGTTGCCTGGACACATGTCAACTCTAGACAGGGGCGTGGTTCATTAAAGCCTTAGACAAATGGGCATGAAACAAGCCTATGTGGAAACCCCCACATTTTGGAAGCCCCTTGTTGGACCCCCCCCCCCTTTTGGATGCAGTTTCAAGAGTCCTTGGCCCATTTTAGTTGACCTCCCTTGTGGGTGTGTTTGCATCCATCTTCAGAACACGACCACCGGCTCGTTCTGATGTTCTGGCTATGTCAAAAAGGAGAAACCCACAAAACTTGGTGCTTTTTCTTGTCTGGTTTCCTCTACAACTACCCGAAAAGGGGGGCCCTCAAATCAACAGAAGTAACATTCCCTTCCGATTTGAAGGAAGTGCGAAGGTGGGGCTCGCCTGCGTCCTGCTGCGCCATAGCCTCGCACTGCTGCAGCGCCTCTGCCTGCTGAAGCGCCAGCTGCCGCAGAATCTCCTCGTGGCCAGCGAGCACAACCCATGCCTTTGACCGCTTAAATTTAATGGCACCTGAGGGAAGCCGTTAAATAGGCAAAGCCCTTTCAAGCAGGAGCCAAAACAGTTGTTTTCAACCAAAGCCGATTTGGCGCCATTTTGCAAAACCAGCTTGCAACTGTGAGCGGTGGTTTCCCCATCCTATCGATGGCTCGGTCTCTCCTCGTCCGCCACGGTGCGGCAGGCCTCCAAGGGATCCGCCGCCATCTCTCCGTCCTTCTCCAAGGCCTTGCGGCGGCGCTTCATCTGGGACCTCAGATCGCCCCGAGCCCCCGCGCGAGCTGGGGCGCGCGCGGTGCGGACTCCGACTCCAATGGGTGCCCTTGAAGGGCCTAAGGCCTTGTAAGGTTTTGGCTTGGGGGAAGAACTGACTAAACCAAAAGGATATCATCAAAAACACGCGCGAGAAACTTAACGCGTGAAGCACAATGAAGCCACCCTCCCGGCGAGTCCAAAACTCCCAAAACCCCTTTGGAAGACTTTCCACTTACAGTCGCCTTCTGGGAGCTCCGTGGAATCGCCTGCGGGAGGGCACTGGAGGGTGTTGGAAGACTCTCCTCCCGAAAGCGCCTCTTTTGTTCACATGACATTTGCCAAAAGGGTCAGGGGGCCATCCAATTATAACGACAAAACGGGACACTCCCTGGGGTTTCTTTCTTAATGGGTCCCAATAAATGGCAATCAACCCGCCAGGTTCCAAAACGCGCATTTCTTCCAGGCGCCGCTGCTTCTGCAGCTCCTCATCGAAGGCTGCGGCCCGCCGCGCCGCCTCCGCCAGGAGCTTCAGGTGCTCGTCGCCGCCGTCGCCGGCCTTGGCGAGCTTGGCCTTCAGCGTGGCCCACTTGCCCTCGAGCTCATCCTGTGGCTCCTAAGCAGAAAGCCCATGGCCCATGCGTGGATTTGGCTCCGGGGTTGAGCCAGGGGTCTCCTGAAATGGGTGCTAAAGTCCTACAGAACCACTAAAATTGCCGGTTTCCTTGTTCCCTCTGGTTAAGACTCCAACAGAGGGTTGCCCCCCTCAAAAAGGGACCGCACCTGACCCTGAGGTTTGCGCTGTCCTGCACCAACTCTTTGTTGGCCTCCTGCCAGCCCGAGTACAGATCCATCCACTCCTTTTGCTCCGCCAACTTGCCCTCTGCCAAGCACTTGTCTGCGAAGATTGTGCACTCCTCAAACAAACGCCTTCGAGCCAAAACCAAAGGGGCGAAGGTTGCCAAAGCATGAAGTAGTTTGACCTATGATTTGTGGGAACAAGGGCGCCTCAAAATGCGTAGCCCCGCTTTGGATTCCCTTTGGGACGTCCTCACAGCGGGTTCCCTCGAGAGGGATGGGAACTCACAAAATATTGAGAAACTTAATCTGCCTGACCAATTTCTCCTCGTGCGTCCCAAGTGGTGTACCTTGAAGATGAAACATGTGAACATGGGATTTCTCATCTCCACATTGCAGCATGTTTTTAGGTGAATGGAAGGACTCCCCTCACGCTTACCACAGCAAGGAAGTCCAAAAAGGGACAATCATAGGGCTAGGAAAGCAGGCACCGAGAATGAAAGCCTGCAAGGGCACCTGCAGCCAAGGTCCCTTTCAAAATTGGCATTTGGTTAGCCATATGATGCCGCGACGCCTATCCAGTACACACCCCTTTTGTACCATGTAAGTAGGGGGCATACACAAATCAGGCCACCAAATCACGGCGTTTTCACCAAAAGAACAACTCACATCTGATTATCAGGCTTTTTGTTGGCGTTGACTACTTCCCACCTTTCTCGAAAGTGCCATGCCCACTCTTCGCCTAGTCTTCCGGATGATTCCAAAGTGAACATGAGGACTCAAAATCGGAAACGTTTGCCAGTGGCTTTCCTTGAAGGAGAGTGTCAACAACCAAACCCTGGACCCCTTGAAGGGAAACCAATGAACAAAATACTATTTTCTGATGAAGTGTCATTATTAGTAACAGCATTTCCTAGAGATATAGCAGCATTAGATAAATGATCTGTGTTAAAAGTCAATTCACAAGGATCTCGAAGATAGAAAGCTTCTCCTGGCCACATCCCTAGAGTTGGAGAAGATACTAAATGAACGGATGCCCAAAGAAGGACATAAGCTTCAAACACTAGAAAACTCCAAAAAGAAGAAACAACATTATGATTAGGACTTGATTCATGTTTGGACTCTATTGCTCTCAATCAATCTCTAGACCAAATCTGTCAATTGCAAAGAAGGAGGTGGCGTTGATGATGGTTTGAACATGCTCAACAGTGGTTGGCCCAACTCTGACAGTCGCCATCAATTGGACAGGGGATGGGTCTGGGCAAATCACTAGAATTGGGTTTTGGTTTGCGACCGATTTGGCGGCCACATGAGAAAGATTCCGATTTTGGAACCATTGTTCTATACACCCAAATGAAGTTAGGTGAGGCCATGCGCAACTTTTTTCGGACTCAAAAGTCTAGGGTCCACCCTAGGATTTTTTGCATTTTTTGAATAAGCGCACCAAAACAGCCATTTTAAAACATTTTTTGAAACAGTCTAAACACATTTTGATAAATATTTTTTTAGTACTGCATACCAAAACAAAAATTGAATTATTTTTTGAAAAATTCAATACACCTAAACATGTTTATTTTCAAAAACACACATTTTCCAAAATATTTTAGAAAATATATTTTTTTCAAAAGAGATAAATATATATATATCATTTTAAGAAGAATTATTCAATAAGAAACAACATTTTCAATAATTCAATGAGAAGACTAATAATTAATCATTTTTCGAAATTTTGATATTCCGGAGTTGCGCATGGCCCGCCTTGTAGGATTTTATCTTCAATATATAAAACGCTATACTTACATTATAATTATAACATATAAGGGTATAAATGTTATAACCATAGTATGGTTATAATCTAAATTCAGGATAACTATTTAATTGATATATCTTTCCTCTTTCATACATCATTTTAATAATACTATTAATATCTCTCACTGTATTTTTAACATTAAACTTTTCACTTTCAATAAATAATTTAATGATTTTTTTTACATCAACCCCTTCCATTTTATGATAAATCAATGCCCATAATATGTAGTCAATAATTTCATACTTTTTCTTACTGATTTTAAGAAATGCTTTAACATAATCATAAGGCGGTATTTCATACACAGTTAAAAATATCAAAATGTCATCTTCAACATTTCTTTCATTAAACCTTTTAATATCTAAATTATATTCGATTGCGTCTTGGTAATATCTCCATTTTTTACATGTTCTGCATATATTTTCTTTACCCAAAGAATAATCAACAATATTATTAACTATTCCATTAGGTAAATTTAATTTATATAATTCCATATTTTCCTCTTTGAAGTGGCAACAGTCATAGCATTTCTTATTGATATAATTATTGATTTCGGTTTCCGCCATTACACACTATATAATAATATATAGCTTTTATTTCTTTAAATACTTTTTCCAAGAAATAAAATTAAATATTGAAATATAAGTATAACATATAATATTTTACATGTTATTATTATATTATGATTATAATTTCAGTACAGGATAATAATTTAATTGATTTGTCTTACTTCTTTCATACATCATTTTAAAAATAATACTAATATCTCTCAATGTATTTTGAACATTAAAATTTTTACTTTCAATAAATAATTTGATATTTTCTTTAACATCTTGTCCCTTCTCTTGACTATAACACAACATCCTTAATATATCATCAATCATACCATATTTTTTCTTAGGGATTTTAAGAAACTGTTTAACATAATCATAAGGCGGTATTTCATACACAGTTAAAAATATCAAAATGTCGTCTTCAACATTTCTATTATGTCTTCTTTTCAGATTTAAATGACATCTGATTAATTCTTGATTATCTCTCCATTCCTGACAAATTGTACATTCATCTTCTTCATCCATTGAATAATTAATAATATTATTCAATATTTTATTAGGTAAATTTAATTTATACAATTCCATATTTTCCTTTTTGAAGTGGCAACAGTTGTAGCATTTCTTATTGATATAATTATTGATTTCGGTTTCCACCATTTCTATTATAATATATATAGTTTTTATTTCTTTAAATACTTTTTTTACAAGAAATATTAAAATATTATTTAAATTATTATCATTTACAACTACAATTGCATCTAACACAGTAAGGAATAATATTATTCAGTTCGTGTGACAACTCGTTTGATTTACGTTGCGCTGTCAGATTTGTCATTATATTACCGTTTTTAATATCCATAGAAAAACCGCATCCGCAGTAATTACATTGATTAGTGATATTATTTAAAAACCATTGCGCATTTACATAACCTTCTTTAGGTATTGTTCTTTTGGCTTTCCTGTCTTGTTCTTTGTAATTTAATATTTTCCTTTCAAAATAACTCATAATACATTTTTGATTAAATACATCATCAATATCTTTCGTATATTTATAAAATTTGACTTTGTTTAAATCTCTACACCTTGTAATTGCAGTCCATATCCATTCTGGATAATTCTTTACCAAAAAATGGTTATAATCAAAAATTGTTATGGTGTCATCAATGCTACTGCCTTGGGCAGAATGACAAGTCGAGCAATATGCAAATATAAAATTACTTCTTATTTTATCAACTGGCAAAGACTGTAGAATTTCAGTTTTAACATTTTTCAACGTAAATATTCCATCGCTTCCAATATGAACAATTTTATATTTGAAATTTACATTAAAAACTGATGTTTTAGTTGTTGTATATTCTCTACAAATTAAAAATTCTCCTACTTCATATTCATCTTTTCTATTTTCTAATTTTCTAATTTCATTTGATACATTTTTACAAGTTGTATTTAAAAATGCTATGTTGTTGATTGATTTGCTTATGTCAGTTGTATATTCAAAGTATTTTTCAATAACTTTCATAATAGGTAATTTATTTTCAAAAATATCAATTTTAATATTTCTTAGTTTATCTTTATCTTCCTGTGTGTTAAGTCGCTTACATTCTTTTAACAAAATATTATATTCAAAAATGTTATCTATAATGTTATCAGTATATACTTCATAGTCTCGAGTATTTGTTATCTCTTGAACTGGTTTTAACTGCTTGGTGTCTCCTGTTGCTATTATAATTTTGTTGTGCTTATTCTGTTCTACAAATTGTTTTATTCTCCAATATATATTTAAATTACTAAAATAAACTTCGTCAAATACTATAACATCAAAATCTGTAAAATCAAATGGTTCTAATTTAGCATCTCCATAATTAATACCGAAAAATTTATTTATTGTCATTGCTTCGCCTTCGAATGCCTGTAATAGTTTATTAGTAGGACAAATAAAAATTACATTATAATTTTTATCAACCATTTTTTGACATATATATGATTTTCCTGTGCCCGGTAGTGCTCCACGAATCATAATAGGATTATTTTGTTCAATAATTTCTATAATATTATCTGTGTCATATTCATCTACTATATCAATAGTTTTACTTTCATAAATTGGTATTTGTATTAATTCGTTTTGTGTAATTTCATAATTTACAGTAGGAAATTTAATATATTCGTCGTTTGAAATTCTCCATCCTCCTATTTCATTATTAAAGATTAAAAGCTCTCTTGCTTTTGTTATATCCGATCGCGCTATTGTAAACGCATCTGTTTTGACGCTATATACATTAATACCATTTTGATGTAATTTAGAATAATCTTGATACATTCTAAAATTATGGTATTGAAGCAGTAGCTCTTTTACATACCTAAAACCATTCCTTAAGCGTGATGTGTCCTTTAAATTAAGTATATAATATGACGCCTGTTCTTCTTCTGCTGTATATTGCTCTTCATCTACTGTAATTTGTTCTGTCGTGAAATGTGTTAATTTATGTATTTTACCTCCATACTCTGCCTGATAGTTTAAAGCTTCCTTAAGATTTTTAAACACTGTGCTCTTCTGGTCAGTTGCTCCCCCCTTTTCTAAAAGTCCATAATTAACATTTGCGACCAGTTTTTTTATACATTTATCTTCCTCATTGTCTTCGCTAATGTTTGTGTTCCAAAGTTCATTAACAATATTTTTATGTTCAACTTTGTGAATAAATGAAGGTTGTTTAAAGTATAAAATATTAATTCGTTCTCTTGTCATGTTATCTAGTTGTTT